TTTTCTGTGTTTGTCTACAGGTAGAGGCCCTGCGACGAGCTGATTACTCGCCCAAGGAGTCCTACCGCATGTGTAAGATCTAGTAAACCGAAGTGAAACGGAGAGTTTCATGGAGGTAGGCTTAGGCCCAAATTGGGGCTGTAGCGCCACAGAAAAAAAATATATATCAGTGTTGAGTAAGACATAAATAAGTACGAAGAGACCAGACATGATAGGAGCTTCTTCATTAGACATGTAAGGAAACATTTAATTGGTTTAGGAGTAAAACTGAAAGGAGGATCTTGAGATATATCTTTGGACCAGTGGAAGAAAATGGAATATGGCGGAAGAGGTATAACCGTGAGCTATACAAACTATTTAATGAACCAGACATTATTGGATTTATAAAGGTGAAAAGGCTTGAATGGGCTGGACACACGATACGTGCCAGCGAGAATAGAACCATCAAGAAAATGCTTAACACCAAACCAGAAGGAAATAGGAGAGTGGGAAGACCAAGATTGAGATGGGAAGAATGTGTGTGGTAGGACATAAGAATTTTGGGTGTAAAGAACTGGAGGAATGTAACATCGAATAGAGAAGAATGGCGAACAATCCTGAGGAAGGCCAGGGCTCACAAAGTGCTGTCGTGCCAGTGATGATGATGATGATGAGGAGGAGGAGGAGGAGTAAAACATCGGTCTCATCATTTCATTTCCGAAAAGCCAACAGTTTCTCAGTTACTCAAGAATTTATCAGCATTTTATGGGACATGAAAATTCATTACCGTGTTCAGAAGAGCCCTCCACTGGTCTCTGTCTTGAATCAGATGAATCCAATCCATTCCACCACATTCAACTTCCTAATGTCCTTTTTAATATTACCCTCCTATCTATGTCTAACACAGACTAATGGTCCCTTTTCTTCTGATTTCCCGTCAAAATCTTGCATGCATTTATCTTTTTTCTCAGCCTTGCTACGTGGTCTACCCATCTATCTAAGAACCTGACTCTGTGGTAAAGAGAAAATGTTTTTTTTCTGCTGGGAATCGAATCCCTAGTCCTCAGCCGTTCAGCCCGTAGCCTGCAGCTTGTCGCTGACTGAGCTATATTATAGATACTGAAGGATTTACTAGTTTTAGAGTCATGTCTTCATACGGCTGCCAGCAAAGAAGGGTTTCAAACCGACACACACATGAACTAATCTAATTAAAGATCTCACAGAAAAGGAATCGGAAGTGACGTCACACTGCGCATTAACGAGCTTTGTTTCCGAAATGTCCATGTTCCCTGAGGTGCCATACGTCCAGGCGTAATGGCCCACGGCCCCCAAAACTTCTGCCGTGTCCCCAGACGCTAATCAGCCTCGCTGCAGATTCGCTAGATTTAACTTATCTCTCCGGTCGACCGCCAGACGGTGCCACGGGGCTGTAATGGATGCGACGCGAAACAAAACACTCACAGCGTACGCTGCGAACCACTCTGATGGGCTGATCTTCGATTTCTTCGATAAAATCGGAAAGTAGCATAAACAAAGTAAGAAACTATCGTCAGTGGTTTGTAATTTAAACTTATGGCTGCGATGGAGGCATTTAGATTTTGTTGCAAAATATTAAATCTTTGGAAACCTGAAATTTATAAAATAATACAAAAAATACCAGTTCATATCTCACAGAAAACACACCGCGTCTTCATTACAGCGGCCAAAGGATTTACGTTGCTCAGGGAAATATACTATTTTTCCTCTGAGAATCATACGAAGCACATAAATACACTCTGTAAAAAAAACACGGTGCTTTCTTTATATTAAAACTGGTGCTGCACATAAAAAAGCATTGCACTTTAACGTGTCAATTTACATTTCGTTACACCGCCCCTGTGGTCTAGTAGCCAGAGGTCCGGGTTCGTTTCCCGGCGCTACAAGATTTTCTGAGAAGTAGTGGGTCTGGAACGGGATCCACTCAGCCTCGTGAGGATAATTGAGGAGCTATTTCAAGGAAGTGGTGGCTCTGGTCTAGAAAACCGAAATTAACGGCCGTTGGAATTTGTTGCACTGGCCACGTGACACTCTCTATCTGCTAAAGTTGGCACTAACTTCGCCGACAAGCGTCGGTCGCTCGGTCGGTATAGTTCGCTTGCGGACTAAAACCACGGAGTTTTTTTTTGCATTTTATTAAATTTGAATTCTGCATTAGGACATGGGGCGAAGACATTTCATGCATTAAACCGTACGGCCACTGTGATCGGCTACAACATACTAAACAATAACTCCATGGCCTGTAGTCCGCAAACGAACTATACTGACCGAGCGACCACCGCTTGCCGGAGAAGTTAGTGTCAACTTTTTCGGATAGAGGATGTCGCGTGGTCAGCGCAACGGATTCTCATGGTCGTTAATCTCGGTTTTCTAGACCGGAGCCGCTATATCCTTGAAATAACTCCTCAAGTATCCTCACGAGGCTGAGTGGACCCCGTTCCAGACCCTCTACTTCTCAGAAAATCTGGTATGGCCGGGAATCGAACCCGGGCCTCTTGATCTTAGCTAGGAACTGTGACTACTAGACCACAGAGGCGGTCCTATACATATACTCCGTTAATTAATTATACATAAATTTACGATAAATGCAGTTTATTCGTCGAATTTATTAATTATATTCACTGAATTAATATGTATGTCCCTTCAACAAATTAGCGAACAAAACTCAGTGAGGTTAACCGGAAACTTAGATTGCTTCTGTGTGTGTGGTTAGGGATGTGGAGAGTGCAGAGATCACGTGGGTACATTTCGAATGGTTGAGGAGAAGTGAGTAGTGTGGGGATGGCTTGCACCCTCGCACGTCGGAAATTCCAAATTCCAAATTCCTCCCTGTGCGGATTGCTACATTTCACTGGGAAGTCTGAACAGCCGAACTACGTTATGATCAACCTGCATTTTTCTCATTCGCAGGCAAAATAACGAGTTTCTCACCTGGCTTTTTCATTGACTTTGCCAGGCGTGTCCGCTTTTCTGTAAGCGAAGCAAAATTAATGACCGCTCGTGTCAGAACTCCAGACTTGTTGGCTCTGCCAGAGTTAAGAAATTTCCACACAAAAACGCGTTATTACCTGTCTAAAACAATGTAATAAGATATTCCAAATGTATAATACATTTTAATTAATATCGAAATTAATTTTTTTTTATTTGAACTACCAATAAACAAAGAAACCACTGGGAAGACCGAGGCGTAGGTGGGTGAACAATATTAAAATGGATCTTAGAGAGGTAGGATGGGATGCTATGGATAGGCTTGATCTGGCTGAGGATAGGGACAAGTGGATGGCTCTTGTGAACACGGTAATGAACTTTTGGGTCCCAAAAATGGTGGGAAATTCTTGAGTAGCTGCAGAATTGGCGGCTCCTCCAGAAGGGCTCAGCTCCATAAGTAAGTAAGTAAGTACTAGCAATGAACATATTAAGTTCAGAATCAATTAATTAACCAACTCAACTGAAAAGGGACAGGTTTTGTTGACGTCAGTAAGTATCACATTCTAACATTCGTCTCACGAAGTATGTGACAGAGAACAAAACTGAAGCTGCATGCCCGTCGGATGTACATTAATAAATGCCTACAAATAACGTTGTGTAGGTTGCACGCCTTTTGAAGCTTCTGTTGATACTGGAAAACTAGCACAAACGATGGGTAAGACTAGTCTAGAACAGTGGTTCTCAAGCGCCGGGCCGCTGCCCAGTACCGGGCCCTAACATAAAGTATACCGGGCCGCGAGAGGTTCTCCTGGAATTTGTCATTTTAGTTTCCTAAACATTTTTCATGTATAAATATTTTATAGCGGAAATATTCTAAGGAGAATAATATTCGTGAATGCGTCGAAAAGCTCAGACCCAGAACCCCTAAATCAGTGTTTCTCAACCGCCAGTACCGGGCCTTGGCATCAATTATACCGGGCCATCGTCTTGTAAAAAAATTTTACCGGGCAGCTCACAAAGATTGAGAACCACTGGTCTAGAAGAAGGGGTTGCACTTCAAGGCACCACCTCCTGAAATGGATGACAAGAGCAACCGATGACGGTTTCCAGTGCCTTATGACATCATAACTGCCGTTCCCAACAGCCAACTTCCTGTCCTACACCTTAATTTCCTTCAAACCACGTGTTGGTCACTCCATGGGCTGTTCTATACGATTTGGGTGGACTGCTAAGTTCTCCAACCTCATTTCCGTTACGGATTTTCAAGGATTCGTTATTGTATTTATATTCTCTCCTAACAAAATGACACCCTCAGTGCTAAAAATGTGAGTAAACATGAGTAGAACCCGTGTACTTAGATCCAGAGCGCTCCATTCTGAAGGAAATATTACCAGAGGCTTAAGGCACCACAACTTTCGTTCCAAACAATGACGCATGTACGAACGAGTTCCTGAAACTGCATTTCAGTTTCCATTATAATGCGTGTGTCATACCTGGCTCTTCTACTGACGTGTTCTGGAGAGACGTTCAGTTGATCTGCTGTGTTGCTCGCCTATATCTGATGTTAATTTTTGGTACGTAGTAACAAAAAGTGGCAGATGAAGTAGCATATTTCTACGACAACCGATCGCATCTTGAAGTTCGATCCTCGAAATGGGAAAAACGGTGTGAATGTGGCGTGCAGATACCGGGAGAGTCGACCCAGATGTGTTCCAATGGGGGGGGGGGCGTTTAAGACTCTCTGTTTACTGTTCGCCTTAGAATATTCAGGATATAAGATATTTTGCAATACTTATTTTATTGTTCGCATTAATGTGACATGTTTTTCCTTCTCTTTCAATTTTGAATTTTCTCTGGGGAGAAGGGCTTGTCCCCCCACCCCGGCGCCTATGCTTAGATCATCATCGAACTCGGAACTTAACAGACGTGATGAATAAATGTACTTTGAAAGTCTCTCAGTTACTACAAAACTTGCTAGGTGGCAGTAATAGCCAAATGATCGTCGTGCTGCCATCTGTAACAAGTTTCTGTAACCATTCCTTCATTGACGACGCTAATAGCAGTAAAAGCAGGTAGCAGGTTGTGAGGTTTAGGATACGGTATGAGTTTTATCATTAATTTCATATATAGAGTAGTGCAAAGTATGCTGCAGTTGTTGTCGCTTGGTAAACGTACAATATCAAACTCACTGAGTGTATACATTAAAACAAATACAGGAGGTACGATATCAGTGGAACTAGACCCGAAATGGTATATAAAGAATGTGAAAGAGCTAGTTGCAACAAGGTTAGGGTTGTCACCAGAAGAAGTTAAAATAATTTTTGCAGGAAAAGAACTTCATGATTCGATCGTTATAGAGGTATGTTATATCACAGATTTCCTTACGTTGTTTTAATGACGTAGTAACCATAATCTTGTTACCACGGTTGTACATTCAGTAAATGAAACGTTATCTCAGATAGCATTACTACTGGGGTAGCATCCTACTCAGGTGGCCTGCTGGGAGGAGCTTGTGAACCAGTAATGAGACCATCTCCTTCTAATGGGTCCATCTCAGTAGGATCCTTACTTATTTGTTTATTTATATTTTATTTAATGATTGTATGAGTAGTGTCATATGGTAAAAAGGGTAAAGTTGTACCTGTGCTTAACTAATTAAGCACTGTACCGTGAAGGCATATGGGGGATTGGATGTAGAGATCCACATTGTCTTGAGCTCGGCACTAGCTGGAGGTAGTGGTCAGCTTCACGCCCCTGCCACTTTACCTCCGGGGAAAGAGCCCCCACTACCCGTTGTATAGGTGGTTGGGTGGGCCCCAGAACTGGTCTGGATGAAGTGGAGGAGAGAAAGTTCTTGACCCTTCCGGGACTCAAACTCCAACCCCTCGGTTGTCCAGCCTGTAGTCAGTCACTATACCAACTGTGCTATCCCGGCACCTATGTCAGATGATAGGATGATGATGTTGGATTTGGAAGGAAGCAGCCATAGCATATTTCAAGTTACTGTCATGGTGTTTGCCTGTAGGGGTGAGGAGAACTGTGAAAAGCCTCGTTAGGATACTCAGTTTTGTGGCCAAGATTCTGACTGGGCTACCTCCCAGACACAAGTCAAGAGTGCTACTGTTTGAGCCAACTTGTGTGGTTCAGTGAGAGTCATGTGTTGGATGTGTCACTGCAATTGCCCAAGCAGACTCCTGATAATGACAGATCATGATCATTTCAGGAGTGCGATTTGGGGCAGCAGAGTGTCCTCCATGCTGTGAAGTCTCATCCTTCCCCAAAGAAACCTGGTCTGGAGACTCCTAGTCAGGGTTCTAGGCCTCTGAGTGAGGCCCTGATCAACCTTCAGTTGAGCGACCAAGAGCGACACAATCTCAAGAGTGATGCAGGTGCATAATATTCGTTATAACTATATTTCCAAGTTCATTAGCTTTGAATCTCAGACATACCTGAATTAAAATTAAAAATCTGTAGCAGAACATGGTTATGTATGTCAGACTGAATAAGGTTTGACAGTAAAATTAGGGGTCTTAATGCTAAGATATTTACACAGGGAGAATACAGTAGATATTTAAAAAATAATCCAGGTATTTTAGGAGCTTGCTGTAGAAACCGTGCAAGCAAGTTAACATTCACATTTTCAAGGGTGAACCACAGAACTTGTCAGAAGGCTTGTTTATATGCTGTAAGGCAGAAAAGGGGTATCTTGTTTTTTATTATTATTACTAGTGGGGTGGAACTAAGTCCCTTGTACTGCGGCCACTTCTGGCCTATTGTACCAGCCCCCAATGATAGGCGAGGATGATTGTGGAGCAATTGGTGGAATGAAGATTGGCAGGGGAAACCAAAGTACTCGGAGAAAACCTGCCCCAGCGCCACTTTGTCCACCACAAATCCCACTTGACCAGACCTGGGATTGAAGCCAGGCCGCTGCGGAGGGACGCCAGTGACTAACCACTTGAGCTGTGGTGCGGCCCTTCGTAAGGGGGTAACTTTAGAGAGAGTCAGCAGTCCATGCAGAGGAGACACCTCTGCCATTCCCTTAGTGTTCACACAGTACACTGTTGCAATGCTTGTTAGCAACATATTTCCATCTTGGTTGAACACTCCGTATATAAATGATTTGCTTGATGTTTTCAGATCACGAAAGGAAGCATGCACACTTCTATGTGTACTGTGCATCACCTTGTAAAGAGATGAAGCTTGGCAAGCTTCGTGTGCGCTGTGCATCCTGTCACAGTGGTGCCTTTACCGTAGACAGAGATCCACAATGCTGGAATGATGTCTTAGAAGTTAGGAGAATCACTGGTGATTGTCAGAATGATGGCTGTGTAAGTGAACTTTTATACAAAATACCATTTTGTTTGGCAGGAGTTGTTCAAGACTACATGTTCCTTTTCCCGTGCTACTGCCTGCCATGGTGTCCGTGAATTTTTCCAAGTAAATGTGAAACTACCTTATGGGTCATAAGATATGGTTACTGTCTCCGTATTCCTCCCCTGACCCTGTCATCACTGATTAGGAATCAGCTTAATCCTGTGAAGTCTTCTCTAAGCATCACCCTGCCTGCCTTTGTACATACAGTTAAATGACAGCAGCTCCCAGCTGTTACATTGTTGTCCTATTTTTAGATCATCTTGGGTATATACTAATGAATAAAATCCATTCTTTGATCAAAGAAAACAACAGGAGAATTGAAGGCTGCCATCTAGCACAGTCTAAGGGATGTCTCAAAAGACAGGGTGCAGCTGTTCGCATATAGCAGATGACCATATGTCAGGGGATATTGTTAGTCAACAGTGGGTTAACCTTTAAGTGCCGAAGTCCCCCGTTTGTGCCAGTCATGAATAAGGTCATCGTGGCCAAAGTACCCCGTTTTGGCCAGTCAGGCATTTAAACTCCGCTAGTGGAAGCACGCGCACTTGCCGCTAGTAGAAGCGCATGCACGGTCCTAAATATGTATTTTTAAATGTAGTAATTACCAAACCGACTTGAATAAAACCCTAATAGAGGAATTAAAATAATACCTAACTGAACAACAGCAAATAAATATATACGTATGAGTTATGCCAAAACTTATCCACAATCCAGTAATTTTATTGCAGATTCTGCA